AATTTCGGCCTAAATTAAGCTTAATTCGGGCCAAACCTCTAAATAACGCCCATGCCCGTTATTTCGCGACAATACGGGTAATGAATATTATAGGTTCAAAATAATCATGTATAATTTCGAATAGCTGTCCCCAGTGAAAATAAAAGGCTGCGCACACGTATATCATACATTTTTCCTGCAAACCATTTTCCATACATCGTAAAACAGCCAGCCACCTGAAATGTCGCTAATAAAGCGTCTTCGTTAAAAACCTTCTGAAGGGATTCAAATAGTTGTCTCGGTGTTATGTTTTTACCGTCACGAGGTCTATTTTGGTTTTAAATATTATACATTTTAATCTATATAGAATATAGCATTTGTTTAATGATAACTTACAAATAACCATGATTAGCCATAGCATTTAAAGCAGGGCAAGGAGATCTAACATCCCCTTCTTTGGGAGCCTGCCATTCGTAAGACATAATAAATGTAGATAGAAGTTCAATAAACGTAGATAACCTTTTTTTAAATACCAATTTACACCACCTTTCCTATTGGCTGTACTATGTGATGATCCTTTTTAAAATTTGATATTTTTAATATTTTTAATATCTTCTAGCAAAGGTTTCTCAACGACTATGTAATTAAACTTAATAATTTTTTTTATTTCGATTCTACGAGCTTGTAGAATTGAAATAAAAAAAGTTTCACCGAGTTTGACCTGGTAGTTATTGAGAAAACTTTATTCAAAGTTTTAAAGAATTATCGAAAATCAGAAATATGGCTACGATCATGGTTTTAATGGTTTTAAATGAAAATTTCTCGGTAACTACTAAACCAAGTTCGATGAAAATTTTTTTATTTTAATTCTAAATTTCCATAGAATTAAAATAAAAAAAAATTTTATCGAGAAATATTGATTGAAATTAAAAAAAAATTTAGCCGCAATTAAGTTTCAGTCAGGGATTTTACTAAATTTTTTATTACCGTGGATCATTTGTTATTTATTGTCCATTTTAGGTAGCGCACGCACAAAAATTTTCCTACTCTATAATTTATAAAACCGCGTTATAATTAGGGTTAGAGCGAGAACAGTGTAAGGTTAGGGTTAGAGTTAGGGTTATTGCTATTAGTAAAATTTCATAAGGAATATTTTTAATTAGGCCGCAGAAGGTGGTTTCTTAATTAAAATTTCGAGTTATTTCAGTTTATTTGTAAAAAATGGTTTTGCTTTATTTGTTTACATTACACCTGATCTTGAAATTTGATTGGCCAAAAATCACAGGAGGGGAAAATTTTTGTGGGTGCGCTAGGGGGTTTTTTATTGTCCAGAGCATAGTGAAGGACCCTTAGTGTTTATGCAAAGTAATATAAGTTATATTTTTGATATATTATAGTTACTTTTTTAATACATCTATATAAACAACATAAAGATCATATTAGGAATATAATTTGGTTACATGGATAAATAGACAAAAGTTGGTAAATTAAATTCAAATTTGTAATTTGTATAATAATATAATTAATATATAGACTCATAATACTATGCATTTTCCTAGTTTATTTGATATTGGATAATATATAAATAGCTAATATACTATTATAAAAAAAATAAATAAAAACTAACTTAGTTAATAAGTAAAAAGGTAATATAGTTAGATTTGATTAGTTAATTACATGTAATTTTTTTTTTTTTTCGGTATTAAGATGACCTCTATGGCCAGGGGCTTTTTATTAGATAATTAACAACATTTACAATTATGATGAGGGTACAACTAGCCACACGTACAACTTTTGGTTGTCTATTTAAGTAGTCTGCCTGAGTTTTACACTAGCTGCCATACCTGCAATCTAACTAGAAGATTACCTATTTAAGCTCTCTGGCTTTTACAAGTAAGAGTACGGCTAGCCATACTTGCAACTTTTGGTTGCCTATTTAAGTAGTCTACCCAAGGTTCTACACTAGCTGCCATATCTGCAACCCAACTAGAGAATTACCTATTTAAACTCTCTGGTCACAACCAGCCCGTCATTTCTTACCTAACCAAGGTATAACTCACTATTCATATGCTAGATTTTGCGATATCTATAGATTTCACACCCTAGCTAGGACTACTTTATCCTCAAGGTAAACCTAACAGAGCAGTATATGTCCTACACATGTATTTACCTGCATGTTTGGTAACTTCTTCCTAATCTAGTACCAGTTGTGTTGCCGTTACCGAGTTCATGTCTCAAGCTATCTTTTAGGATACTGCTATAACCCGATCTGTATCTCAAATTACAATCTTCTTATTTTAGTAGTTGTTACATACTCCTGCTCTTGTATTGGGTTTGCACAACCTCAGCACCCACATTCGAACTTTCTTTCTTTTCTGGATTCTTTATCAGTCTCTTCCTTACTTCCAGCCGGCAACCCGGAAAGGTCAGTTCATCTAGACTTTAGGTGTCTATATAGTCTTCCTTTCCTTGATACATGCTTCCAGAGTATATGTCTTTTTCCTTCAGTTTTGGCAGCCTGGCAGTTCAGCTAGTATGTCCCCTCACTTAAGGACCTGGTTGTTTGGTTCTCCGATCTCAGTTTCCGGTTCCAAATTTGGTTCTCCTGTAGTACCATTGAAGATTGTGCTACCTTTCAACTCAGGACTTGCCAAACAGGTTTTCAGTTTTTCCAGTATTTCAGGTTTATTGCGCCAAAGCTTCCATTCTAGATGGTGTGACCGAGATTACAGATTTCTAGATCCTACCAATCATCGAATAGCCATTAACTGTATCACAGAGCTATTTTTTGAAAATGTCGTCTGTGGGATTCGAACTCTAGACCTGCCATCTAGAGGTGCGACAACTCCACCACTTTACTAAGTCACCACACCCTATTTAAAAATATTTTAAATTATTTAAAAAAAACATTCTGAATATATTTGAAATATTTTGAACTATTTTAAAATATTTTGAAAATATTTTGAACTTTAAAAGAGACATTTTGAATATATTCAAAATACTTCCAAATTATTTTAAAATATTCCAAATATATTTAAAATTTTTTTTAAAATTTGAATTAAAATTATACATATAAAATATTTTAAATATTCATTTTTTATTAATTTGTAAATTATATAATTTAATAATATATATATAAATTTTTTTTATTCTTAGATGATCTTGCCAGAACATATATACAGTTTACAAATTAATCAAAAGGACTAATTCTAGTTGATACCAACAAAGCTGCAACTACAAGCCCAACTTCACCCGGCTATCTCTAGGTGCCCAGATGTGACCATCGCACTAATTCACGGATGACTCAGAATTTTGATTAGCTTTTTAAGAACTAAACCAAAAGGGTATTGACCCTCCATATATTACTCCTTCATGCCTTCTTTATAAAGCCTTTTGATCTCTATCCTCCACTCTAAGATCTGTGCCTTTTTGCTATTTGCTTCATTTTGCTTTCTTGTTCTCTTTTCTTGTAGACTTGCTTTATCCACTTTGGAGTTTTCTTTTTTTCTAAAGCATGACTTCTTTTCCATGATAGTAATCACCTTTTCTTTTTTCCATTTGCTTGTTATTTGACAATGATGAGACCAGATTTCCTTGTAGAAACCTTCTTTTATAAATTTAACAAAAATTTTAATAGCTCTGCCTGCTTTGGATTGTATTAGGTCTACTTTTCCAAGCTCTTCTAACATGTTTACACTCCATAGACCGCTTATATAACCTAGACATCTTCTGCATATATTGGTCTTGTTCCTGTACAAGCTACTTATAAAGGTATCTTTTGCTCATTTCTTTTTGGTCATACTGTCCAAAACCTTCCATGCAAGTTCACCTGCAACATTTTCAATGTTAACCTAATAGCCTTCGTATGCTTTATATGCCGTTAAGTGTTTAACTGTTTCTTCTTCATTTTTGCAAGCACAGCATGTACTTGTATTATAAACTTCTGGCTTTCTTTTCTTCAAGACTGCCAATACTGGTAATTCTCTGCATAGACGTTTTAATCTGAAAGCAAACTGTTTACTTGCTTCCAATAACTTGTACTTGATTGCCATCATTTTTTTATTTTGTTGCCAGAATAACCTCCAGTTGTGCCTAGCTTTTTGGTCATATTCAAGAGATTGTACTGCACTTGATGTTCTCCATTCAGCTCCTACCTTCATATTTGTTAGCATTTTGATTAGCTTTTTTGTGAGGATCTCTACTGGGAAAGTGTTCCAATATAGGCTAAATGGGTATCTAAAATTGTTCTCTATTTTAAGATTTGAGCAAATATTTAACATTGTTCTTTCTTTTGCTAATATATTTGCCCTTTTGTTCCATCTTACTCCACTATGAGCCTTGATCTTAATCAAATCCAATAAAATATGTTTTGACTTACACAGATCTTTAATTAACAAAAACAGCTTGTAATTTTTCTTTCTACTTCACTTTTTTGTATTATCTAACCGCTTATCGTACTATAAACTTGTAATTGCAGCTTCACTATCTAAATTAATTACTACTCTACTATTACTAGTTACTATTAGCAAAGCCAACCAAACTGCAACCAACTCTGCCTTTGTTGATAAAGGCCAACCCACAAATCTGACTTTCCCTTTAACTATCTGAAAATTCTCTTCTTTGTTAACCTGTACCCAACTTGCTCCCATTATATTCTTCTATCTATTTGGGCTAAAAACCCATCAGTGTAGAATATATAGTTCTTTCATTTGCAGCTGATATTTGTATCAAGCTGCTCTTCTAGCATCTCTTCTAATACTTTGTTAAAACCATACCATCTTATGAAACTCTTTATATATTCTTCTATTTCTATTGAAATCAGCTCTTGTTCTCTTTTATCTTTCTTTTCTTTATCTGTCACTTTTCTATTTCCAACTATTTCTTTAATCAGTGCTGGTTTTTTAGGGCCTGTCACTTGATTTGTTGTTTGAATTGACCCTAGTATATTCTTTTTTTTTACCCAAAACTCGCACTCTAAGTTTTTTTCATGCTTTTTTTTACAATTCTTACACTTATCTAGAGTTGGCTTCTCGTTCTTGATGTTTTTCTCTAATTTCTAATATTCAATCAAGAATTTGGTTTTCTTTTTTCTTTTAACTCTACGTACTAATGAGACTTCTTCTTTATTATTGTTTACTATAACCCATTCATGCTTTTATTTATCAGTTGATATTTTCTTCATATAAGCTTTATTGCCATTGTATTTGGTTCTTGAATCTGTGCTCCAATTTTTCTTATAATTCTGCTCAGGTCTATTTCAAAATAGTTTTCAATAGGAACTCTTCCTATAGATCACTCTACCAAAACAAGAACACGAAAGAAAAATTTTCCTGCAATAATATCTCGTAAACTTACTAAATAAATTGATACCTGGCTCTTAAGTAAAGTTATCCAGCACTCTGAATAGTACCTAAAAGAGGTGCATTTTTTAGAAAAAGTTCTCACTACGACAGGCCAGTAACAATAAACTCACTAAACAGCAAAAAAACAATTTTTCAACCCTCCCGCGAAAGCGGTCCTAAGGACCTCAAGTTCAACATAACAAAAAGCAACCTACAAGTAGTGCTCCAAGCAAAAATAACAAAAAGCAACAAGTATCTTACCTCAGCCAGCCACTAAACTCTGACAAAAATATGGACTCTGAAAGCTCTTCCTCCATCTTTGGTTATTTTTCCCGAACTGCAAAACCTGTGCAATCTAAAGATACCACTGTCACCAAGATGCCATCAACTCCAGGTGTAGAACACACTAAAATTTT